CAGGCATGCACGGCAAGCGCTCTACCACTGAGCCACCTTCCCAGCCCCAAGAAGTATTCTTTTTATCAACTTTTAAAATATACTAACATATTTTTTTTTATCTCCAATTAACCAAAAACCTATTGTGGCTCGACTGGTAGAGCACCAACCCTTAAGACCCTTAGCACCAAGACCCTAGTATGGGAGCCAAAAGATAAATTTCAAGTCTTTCTTATTTTAGATTGTCAGGGAAGTATCACTGTTTACCCCATAAAGATAACTAATTCATTTTCCTGGGTTTGTGTTAACTGAGATTCCTCTTTAGTTTCACAAGAATTTGAAGGTGAAGGATCCTTTCCGGTCTCTGTACATGACACTATTTCAGCCTCCTCCTCCTGAACTGACTTATCTTTTTCTCTTGGTGTTGTTAGAGAATCCTAGAGACAAAAAAGTAAAAATGAAAACATCATCCAGGGTGGGTACACATATTGGAAAATAATAGCTGTCACATATATGTAATTTCTAAAAATTCAACTTCTACAAATTCATCTCACAGAAACAGCCAAAGAAGTAGGTAGATATATATAAGCAAGGGTATTTATGAGAGCAATTAAAGAATTCTCCAAAGACATATCAGTAAATCAGTAAAGGACTAAAAAGCCTGCCCAAAAAGAAAAGACAACCCACACACTGGAAATAAGACAAAACTAGTATAGGAAAACTAAATAAATTTTAATTTTTTTTTTTTGGTCAGTTGTGGGCCTAAACTCTGGGCCTGGGCACTGTCCCTCAGCTCTTCAGTTCAAGGTTAGTCCTCTACCACTTGAGCCACAGTGCCACTTCCAGCTTTTTCTGCTTATGTGGTGCTGAAGAATCAAACCCAGGGCCTCAAGCATGCAAGGCAAGCACTCTACCACTGAGCCACCTTCCCAGCCCTTAATTTCTTTACACTGAAACAGTACTCATCCTTTCGGAGGTGGAGGAAAGGAAGGGATAGTTCTCTCACTATATTGCCCAGGCTGGCATCTAACTTACAGCTCTCCTTTTACAGTCTCTTGAGTAGCCAGGCCTACAGGCACTGGTACAACAGAGGCAAAGAAATGGAGGGACAAAGCGTAAACAAATGCAGCAGTGGTACTTAGTGGATACTACGTTGAAAATTAAATATTCAACTTGTAGGTAGGGACAGGAGGGAAAAATTGGGAGACAGCAAGGGAAGGAGTGACACTCTCCAAAAAGAAATGTACTCAGGCTAGGAATGTGGCTTAATGGTAGAGTGCTTGCCTAGCATGCATGAAGCCCCTAGGTTTGATTCTTCAGAACAGAGCCAGAAGAAGCAACGTGACTCAAGTGATAAGAATGACAGCCTTAAGCAAAAGAAGCTCAGGGACAATACCCAGGCCCTGAATTCAAGCCCTAGGACTGGCAAAAAAAAAAAAAAAAAGTACTCTTTACCTGATTTATGTAACTGTAAAATCTTTGTATATCACCTTAAAATTAAGAATGTTTTAGAAGAAAAACCTATTGCACAGTGCTGATCCAAGATTTTCATAGCTAGGTACCAATGGCTCACACTTTTAATCCTAGCTATATTGGAGCCCTAAGAACAGAAGGATTATGGTTCAAAGCCAGCCTGAGCCTCTGCTCCAAGAGATTCTATCTTCAAAATAATCAGCAGAAAGCTGGACTGGAGGTATGGATCAAGTGGCAGAACATAGCTGAGCAAGCTAGCTGAGCAAGTGTGAGGATGTGATCTTAAACAATAGTAGTACCAGGAAGGGAAAAAAATGTGTTAAATAGAAAAATCAGAAGGCATGGAATGATTTTTTTGGTTTTTTGGCTAGTCCTGGGGCTTGGACTCAGGGTCTGGGCACTGTCCCTGGTTTCTTCAGCTCAAGGCTAGCACTCTGCCACTTGAGCCACAGCCACTTCCAGCTTTTTCAGTGTGTGGTACCAAGCAATTGAATCCTGAGCTTCATGCATGCTAGACAAGGATTCTACCATTAAACTACATTTCCAGCCTTGGAATGATATATATATATATTTTTTTTGGGGGGGGGTCCGTTTACGGGGCCTGAACTCTGGGCCTGGGCGCTGTCCCTCAGCTCTTCAGCTCAAGGCTAGCACTCTACCACTTGAGCCACAGCCCCACTTCCGGCTTTTTTCTTTTTGCCTATGTGGTGCTGAGGAATCAAATCCAGGGCCTCATGCATGCAAGGCAAGCTTTCTACCACTGAGCTACCTTCCCAGCCCCCGATATATTATTTTTTTAATTAAAATCCCCACACAATATTTTATAAATAAGTGTTTACACAGAGTCTAGGTGTATATTCAAAAAGGGAGAATGAGCTGGGTGCCGGTGGCTCACGTCTGTAATCCTAGCTATGCAGGAGGCTGAGATCTGAGAATAGCGGTTCAAAGCCAGACAAAGGAGGAAAGTCTGTGACACTCTAATCTCCAATTAGCCACCTGAAAAGTGGTGCTGTGGCTCAAAGTAGTAGAATGCTAGCCTTGAGCAAAAGAGCTCAGGGACAACACCCAGGCCCTGAGTTCAAGCCCATGAGGAAAAAAAATTTTTAACGCATAAATTTGAATTTGATGTATATTAATAACTAAACCTAGTTCTAAAAATCACATCATATGCATAAAACTCAATTTCTGATAATTAGCATTTCATTTCAAAGTTTCTAGTGTTATATCAATTATGAGCCAAGTTAATAAAATATCTGCTTTAATTTTCAAACATTTAATTTTTATTTTACCTTCAAACTAGAATGGAATAATTACTATGAAGCAACTAGGTACATCAACCGGCTGTAACTACACAGTCAGACATTCAAATACAGCCCACACTTCCTAAATAATCTTTTTTGGGGGGGAGGGGTCCGGTCATGGGGCCTGAACTCTGGGGCCTGGGCACTGGCCCTCAGCTCTTCAGCTCAAGGCTAGCACTCTACCACTTGAGCCACAGCCCCACTTCCGGCTTTTTT